TCATGATTAATTTTCTGCTCGAACGCAAGCCCACCTTCAAAGAGGTGGTCGTTACATACGACCATCCAGCCTCGTGGCCTTAATCATGATGAATTTTTGCTTGAACGCATGCCCACCTTCAAAGAGGTGGTCGTTACATACGACCATCCAGCCTCATGGCCTTAATCATGATGGATTTTTGCTTGAACGCATGCCCACCTTCAAAGAGGTGGTCGTTACATACGACCATCCAGCTTCATGGCCTTAATCATGATGGATTTTTTCCGAACGCATGCCCACCTTCAAAGAGGTGGTCGTTACATACGACCATCCAGCCTCATGGCCTTAATCATGATGGATTTTTTTCTCCAACGTATGCCCACCTTCAAAGAGGTGGTCGTTACATACAACCATCCAGCCTCATGGCCTTAATCATGATGGATTTTTTTCTCGAACGTATGCCCACCTTCAAAGAGGTGGTCGTTACATACGACCATCCAGCCTCATGGCCTTAATCATGATGGATTTTTGACGTACATCCTGTCACCAAGGTTAATCCCCGGATTCCGACCATATAAGCTTAATTTGGTAAATAATAACTTGTAGAAGCTTCAATATGCCATTTCATTCATTATCAAGCAAAGCATTTGATTACACTGTTGGTAATAAGTAAAAAGGAAAAAATTTTAAGCATAATATTTCTTTAAGTTAGCCACATTCCATGACCTGGCTAGGGATCTTCCTTCAGCATCCTTCAAAGAGTATGCTCCTCCAGCATGGACCTTTTCGACCAGGTATGGTCCTTCCCAGTTTGGCTCTAATTTCCCAACGTGTTTCAGCACATCGACTCTCTTCCACACCAAGTCACCCACTTAGAATCTCCGTGTTTTCACTTTTTTATCATGCGCTGCTCGCATCCTTTGTTTGTATGCCTCGACTCTAATTGTTGCCTTTCCTCGAAGCTCTTCGATTGTGTCGAGCGCTGCCATCATCAACTGTTCATTCTGTTCTCGATCATAGGTGCTCGATCTTTGGGACTGAACCTCGACCTCTATCGGTAATAACGCCTCCATGCCATACACCATACTAAACGGTGTTTCCCCAGTGGTCGATCGGGGGGTTGTTCTGTACGCCCATAGCACCGAAGTAAGTTCATCCACCCACGCTCCCGATGCTCTCTCCAACCTTGTTTTCAGACCATTCAATATAATTCTGTTGGTCACTTCGACCTGTCCATTGGCTTGCGGGTGTGCGACTGAAGCAAAATGTTGATCAATTTTCATGTCCTCGCACCATGCCCGAATCCTCTTGCCATTGAACTGTGTCCCATTGTCCGACACCAACACTTTAGGAACTCCAAATCTGCAGCATATGTTATCATATAGGAAATGTATCACTTTCTCTTCCGTGATCTTTGCCAGGGGTTCAGCCTCCACCCACTTTGTGAAATAATCGACCGCGACAATCAAGAACTTCCTCTGTCCGGTTCCTTGGGGCATGGGCCCAACCAGGTCGATCCCCCATTGGGCGAACGGGATGGGAGAACTCATTGCTGTCATGGTTTCGGCTGGCTGGTGAATAAGTGGGCCGTGCTTCTGGCATTGCAAACACTTCCGCACCATCTCCTTGGCATCTTCTTTCATCGTCGGCCATAAATATCCTGCTCTTAGAGCCTTTGCTACCAAGGAACCTGCCTTGCTAAGGTCACTACAGCAACCCTCGTGAATTTCTTTCAACACATATCGCCCCTCTTCTCCTCCTACACATCGCAAGTGGGGGTCCGCGTGCGACCTTTTATAGAGAATCCCTCCATGCTCGAAGAATCTTCTTATCACTTTAACAGCTCCTCCCTTTAATTCTCTCATTATCGGGGCCCTCCAATCCTCCACTTCTTCTATCTCGACCACCTCCTTCTCGACCACACTCTTCTCCATGTGAAGCAAAGTCACACTTCTGCTCTTGCAGTCCACCAGACTTTGCGCAATTTTAGCCAACAGATCCGCTCGACCATTTTCTCCTCGAACCCTTCCTGGAACTGGCCCACCACCAATTGTGAGTCTGAATGCACCTGTACTGCTCGAGCTCCGCCACTTAAGGCCAGTTTGAGTCCTTTAATGACCGCTTCGTATTCCGCTTCATTGTTTGATATCTGGTAGGCCACCTTAATTGCGAACTCCAAGCTGTCACCTATTGGTGACATAAGCACGATGCCTAGGCCACCTCCAGCCCTCGACACCGATCCATCTGCAAACACTTGCCATACCTCCTCGAACTCCTCGCTTTCCTTCGTCCCCTCTTAAATAAAGTCAGCCAACGCTTGGGCCTTAATCGCTCTCCTTGGCTCGTAGATAATTGTGTATTCACTCAGCTCGACCGCCCATTTGACTAACCGCCCCGACACGGAGGGTCGACCCAGCGTTTCTCCCAATGGCATGTTCGTTCGGACCTTCACCCTATGTCCCAAGAAATATGGTCTCAGCTTCCTCACAGTGACCACCACCGCCAAGGCCCCCTTTTCGATCTCTGAGTACCTCCTTTCCGCCCCTTGCATCACCTTACTCACGTAGTAAATAGGAAACTGGGCTGTCCCTTCCTCCCGCAATAACACAGAGCTCACTGCCGTCTCACCGATGGACACATATAACACCAAGTCCTCCCCTTGCGCCGGTTTTGCTAATAGCGGTAGATCGACCAACATCCTCTTCAGCTCCTCGAATGCTTTCTGTGCTTCTTCTGTCCATTGAAATTTCGAGCTCTTCCTGAGTGTCTTAAATAGGGGCCCGCTCTTCTCGGCCACCTTGGAAATAAAACGGCTCATACCTGCTATTCGACCCGTTAAGATCTGCACCTCCTTCACCTTCGTGGGGGGCTGCATCTCGATTACCGCCCTCACTTTCTCCGGGTTGACCTCGATCCCCCTTCTTGTGACCATATAGCCCAAAAATTTTCCAGATTTGACCCCGAACGAGCACTTAGCGGGATTCAACTTCATCCCATACTTTCGGAGGGTCATGAATGTTTCTTTTAAGTCGTTCACATGGTCAATTGCCTCTTTGCTCTTCACCAGCATATCATCCACATACACCTCCATGTTCCTCCCCAACTGCTCCTTAAAAATTTTATCCACCAACCTCTGATACGTCGCCCCCGCATTCTTTAGACCGAAAGGCATCACCACATAGCAGTATGTTCCACGGCTTGTCACAAAGCTGACCCTCTTCCAATCCTCACGAGCTAGCGGGATCTGATGATATACCTGGGATGCGTCCATCAAACTGAGTAGCTCACACCCTGCTGTGGAGTCGACCAGCTGGTCGATCCTAGGAAGCGGATATAAATCCTTCGGGCATGCTTTGTTCAGATCACGGAAATCAATGCACATCCTCCACTTCCCTTCCGCTTTCGACACCATCACCGTGTTTGATAGCCATTCGGGGAACTGAATCTCCTTAATATGTCGAGCTCCCAACAGCTTCTCGACCTCCTGCTCGATAATCTTATCCATCTCCGCCCCATGGTGCCTTCTCTTCTGCTTCACCGGCCTCACGCTGAGGTCGATATTTAGCCGATGCTCGATCACCTTCGCACTTATCCCCGTCAGCTCCTCTGTCATATAGGCAAAAATATCGGCGAACTCCCTCACCAACTGGATCAACCTCGACCGAACAGGTTCTCCCAAATCCTTTCCTATCCTGAACTTTCTCCTTTCACACCCCTCAATCATCTGAACCTCCTCAACTTCTTCCCCCGGTTGGATATCCCTTTCCTCCTTTCCTTTCTCCACCTTTTGCCTGTCCTCCCTCGACCTTGATCCCCTTGGTCGATCAATCTCTTCCCCTTTTGACTCGGCCTTCCTTTTCGCCAATTGTTTGTTATTGCTGACTGTCGTTTGATAGCAGCTTCTCGAAGTGAGCTGATCTCCGGCAATCTCTCCTACGCTTTCGCCCACCGAATACTTGATCGTCATGTGGTACGTGGATACGACCGCCTGGAATTCGTTCAAGCTCGTTCGCCCCATGATGATGTTATAGGACGACTCAGCGCCTACGACCACGAATCTCACCATGCGCACCTTTCTCAACTCTCCTGATCCTAACGCCACTGGCAGACTGACCTCTCCCATCAGCATAACCTCTCCCCCGTTAAAGTCGTAAAGCGTCGTGGTCACCGATTTCAGCTCCATATTCAGCTCCCTATTGATCTGCACAAAACAGTCGTAGAACATCACATCTACCGAACTCCTGGTATCAATGAACACCCTCTTCACATCGAAGCCTGCGACCTCCGTGGTTATCACTACGGCATCATTGTGCGGCAGGACCACTCCCTCGGCATCCTCCGCCTTAAAACTTATCACCGGCATGCGGGCCGCGATACTCACCTCCTCCCTCTTCCTCTTCATTGCTCGAACGTGACCATTCCTCGCATTGTTCGAGTCCCCGTCTGTCGGTCCTCCCGAAATCATATATATCGTGCCTCTCTTTACCTGGCCTCCGTCCCCTTCTCTCTCCCGCTCTCTACTTCTTCGCCCTCTCTTCCCTTCGTCTCTCTTTCGACCATCTCGACCACCTCGCGCCTCCTCATCATCATCTTCCTCACTCCTTTCTACCGAGTCCTCCCGGCACCTTCTCTTCTCCTTTCTCCTCCCCTTATCCTGATAGACAAACTCCTTGAGATGTCCTGCTCGAATAAGGCGCTCAATTTCGTCCTTAAGATGCCGACAATCCTCAGTAGTGTGGCCATAATCTCTGTGGAAGCGGCAATATCTCCTCGACTTCGGTTGGGTGGGCCCTTCGAACCTCGACCTGGGCCACGTCACGTCTTTCCCATCTATCCCCTTCTCCATAGCCATCAGAACCTCGGCTACCTTAGCGTTCAACGGGGTGTAATCATGGAATCTTTTCCCTCCAAAGATAGGTCGGTCCTTCCACCTGTCCTCTCGCCCTCGGTCTTGTTTAGCTCGCCCCTCCCTCCTGGGCGAGACTTTCCTTTTGGGCGAGACTGCTTTCTCCTTCCTCGACTCCCCTCGACCTAACTCCTCCAGCTTGGCGAACTCCACCTCAGTCTCCTCGAGATTGATATATTTCCTGCATGTCTTCAATACTTCATCATACGTGTGGGCAGGGGTCTTAGCCAGAGAAGTCCGACACGGTCCTGCCCGCAAACTCCTTATCAGTCCTCCCGCCTTGACCTCGTCGACCGCCGATGGAATCTCCAAACAAGACTGATTGTATCGAGCAACATACTTACGTAGTGACTCCTTCTCGCCTTGCCTCATCGCCATCAATGTCAGATACGTTTTATCCTGAGCTACCGCGCTTGAATATTGATTCGTCAGCTTTTCCGCAAAATCCTCAAAGTCCACTATCGAGCCTGGGGGGAGCTGTTGGAACCAGTCGAGCGCCCCTCCCCTAAGGGTCGATAAAAAGGCCCTGCAACTAACAGGGTCGGTATATCCGTGCAACACCGCCATATTTTCAAATGCCCTCACATGTCTCGACGGGTCAGAAGTCCCATCGAACACCAAGTTAGTATCCTTATAGCTATTTGGCAAGGGTGCTGCCAGTATGTCCGCCGAGAACGGGTGTCCTCGAGCACGCCTCTCTGCTCGACCATCCACCTTGGCCTGTAATTGGCGCAGTTGTTCCGCCATCCTCTCCATCTCCCGGTCATTCGTGGGCCCGCCTCCGCCATAGCTGGATTCGTCCTCCTCCGCATTTTGACGTGACCCTGCAATAGTGTTTGGCATCGCCGTAGCCCGAGAGAGACTGTTTGTGACTTGTTGAACCTGTTGTTCAGGGGCCTGAACCGTCGCTCACGGCGGTGCTCCACCTTGGGCCGCCGCTCCTCCTGGTTGCGTCCCCATTCCTCCCGGCTGCGCCACCGTCGCTCCCAATTGCGCTCTCCCTTCTCCTGGTTGCACTGCCGTCGAGCTGCGTGGCGGTGGTTGTGGTGGCATCGCCTCTGCGTCTTCCGCGCGGGTCTCGTGAGCCCGGCTGGGGCCAGCGCCTCCTTCGGGAATTGCCGTTGTCATTCCCACACCTTGGAGCACAGGCATGGGAGTGATTGGCGTCTGTGATGGACTAGAGAAACCCGGGGGAGGACCCTGCCCCAATGGTCTGGTCGTTGTCCAAGCATCATCGAATGTTGACTGTAAATTTGTAGGAATTCCGTCCGCCATAGCTGAGCTTCAAGCACACCTTTTCGAACGAAAGTCCCATAGACGGCGCCAAATGGTAACACAAAACTCCTCGACCGATTGGAACTTGAGTAATCGCCTTCCTTCTCGCCGGTTGAACGTCGTGCACCTACAAAGAACTCTCACACCGAAGGGGTTTTCCGGTGAAGAGCCTCCGAAGCTTAAGTCAGTGTATATTCAATCAATTCTCCAGAGTAAATAATAGAATGATCGTGTTGAAGAAGAAAGGCTCACCCTCTTTATATAGAGGTGAGACCTGACCTAGGGCTGCCCGGATTTGATGAGCTGTCTGCCCTAACTGCCCGTCCGTACAAACCAAACGCGTGTGTCAGAGGTAGCCGTCGCCACTATTGCCTGCACCAATCCTCTTTGGACGCGTGTCCTCCTGCACATGGGGTAGGCTGTCAGAGGTGGTTATCGCCATCCACCACTGCCTTCTCGACACGTGTCCCCCTGCACATGGGGTAAATATTCTCCTGGAATCCTGTCAGAGGCTTCCTTCACGCGCCTATGACTAGGCCGAACAGCGTGGTATTAAGTCCTCGAAGTAATCGACTCGCTGAGGTCGAATAGGTTGCTCGATCACGTATCTGGTCAAAAGATAGTTTGGTCGATAACCTTGCTTGGTCGACTAGTTAATTGGCTCGATTTCTTTGGCTTCCTCATAATATGACCTCCTCGACCGGTCAGCAGACCGATCCAACCTTGTGGGTATAATATCCCATATCAGCGGGTACAAAGACTGGGTCGCTTCTCTTTGTTCAACATTTAGGATAAAATACTCGGGCTCGGATCGCACGCTAATTAAATAAAAACCGAACATATATATAACACACATTTTATTTAATTATAATATTAGGCAATTAGACAAATAATGACATTTAGACATTCATTTAATAATAATAATATTAACAATAATAATAATAATAATAATAATAAAAACAATAATAATAATCCCAAATAATTCGTAAACACGGGATTACGAATCGGCCAGTTTCGTCTACCGGTTTATCGGGCTCAACATCATAAAATCCGAACATATATAACGCTCGAAAATAATAAACTAACAATATTAATAAGGCCGAAATATCCGACAAATTCATTATTCAAACGGATTATATTCGGTTCACGCGATTAATCCGAAATCGACTAACGACGAACGTTTTTCAATAAAACGATCGAGTACTCTAACCTTTGTTTAAATCGACATCGCGACTAATAAAATAATTATATCCTTATAATTAATATTCGATAAATAGAATATTCTGAGAAATTCTATAAATCGAACGGGGCGTTACAATCTACCCTCCTTAAAAAATATTTATGTCCTCGGAAATACGAAAGAACACGCATTTAAAGGAAAATGACATACTCGAAAAGCATAAACTCACGTACAGGACTCAATCTGACTCGCCCTATGCTCATATGTTTACCTTATTGCATGGGAGGGTGATCAATCCTGCCCGAGCTCAGGCGCACATCCTCATGTAAGGGACCCAGTCCGGCTTGGCCTGAACCCATGAGTATCAACAATTAACTTCGTACCGAACAACACACAAGACCTCAACAGGTCGTTCGGTGTATTGCCAGCGTACTCCGACTATCTCACCAACAAGGTGGACACGTGATGCCAAGTTTAAGTCTCATATCCAAGTCATACTGATAACTTGCTCACGATTTTATCAAGGACCGAGTGTCTTCATCAAGGACTATGACACGGTATACAGTGTTGGGTTCTGTTAGGAACGTCAAACAACATGCACAGTATTGAACTTTATCGAAA